CTGCAGCAACAGGACTGAGAATGATGGGAATTGTGAGGATGGGGCAGGGCAGGACAAGGTTCTGCTTTGTTGTTCATAGTGATGCTGTGAATCTCAGTCAGCTTGAAGATGTCTAACAAAGACAATAAGAACAAGTCTGTCCCTATTCAAGGAACATTGGTGGCACAGTGGTTTAGTGCTTGGCAACTAACATAAAGGTTGGAAGTTTGAATCTACCAACAGCTCTTGATGAGAAAGCTGTTGTAATTTACACCTATAAAGATTATTTATCCAGGTGCCTTTGACACCTTACGGGGTTGTTCCACTTTTCCTAAAGGACAGCAATGAGTTTGTTTTGTTTTATCTTCTTATTATGTAGTCCTAAAACAACTCAATTCAAATAGTTTCTTATGTGAAAAGCTGTTGATATACTGTATGAATTTCATTCCTATGGAATGGAATAAACAAATGGAGAGCAGGAAGAGGTTGTCTAGGGATAAGGAAGAATGGAAAGTGGCTGTAAATGGGTATAAGTTTCTTTTGAGATTTATAAATATGTCCTTAAAAATTAGATTATGGTATTATTTCATGAGTGTACTAAAAAACCCGTTGATTTATGTACTTTTAATGGATGAGTTATAAAGTATGTAAATTATAGCTCAATAAAGATAGTTAAAAAATTTGTTAAAAACTTATCTACAAAAAGATGTTAAAAATATTTTCTATTATAATGGTAGATTGAACTAGAAAAGGAAAGTGAAATTTTCAGTAAGTTGAATTATAAGGTCTTTTACTTGATAAAATGATATATACATGCAAATGATATATACTAGTAATTCAGTACATATTTCAAATAATGCTTTTTAGCTCAATAAGTGAGAGTTTACACATATCAACTAACTTTTCCAAATATGTCTGTTTAGCAAGAACAAGACAAGCAGTAAGCAGCAGAATAGATTGTAAAAAACAGCAATATGAAATAGGAAAAAATTAAATGGCTCTATTATTGGAACAGTCTCAGAACTAATTATGGAGACAGATTTCAATTCCATTTTTTTAATTGAAAAGCTTTTTATTAGACTATCTCTTTGAAATTCAATCAGAGTCAACAGTATTTTTTCAGTCAGTATTTGGAAAAAGAGCCTTATCCATGTTAACAGAAGAAGAATAAATGAAATAACACATATGGAATTAGTGTTCACCATGTGGCCTACAGCTCTGTAGGTGCTTGTCCTCTAACATTTTTGTAATTTATGAATAAAAATACTCCAATATAGATTGTTCTATATATGTATCTTACTGTATTGTGTGAGGGGTTAGTTAATACTGTTGTTAACATTACAGAATATGAAACCCAACTCCTTTGATTAGAATCTCAGCTCTCTCACAAACTGTTGGTGTCAACTTAGGACGTAGCTTAACCTCTTTGTGTCTCAAATGTACCAGCTGCAAATATAAAGGTTTTAGTACACCCAGAACTACCTCAGAAGAAACACGTGGTGATCTATTTCCAAAAACTAGCCATTGAAAAGCCTACAGAGCACATTTCTACTCTGACACACATGTGGCAACATAAGTTGGAATCAACAAAAATAGCCAATTCCTAGTTGTTATTTTTGTTAAACCAAGAAGATAACAACAGTACCTAGTTCATAAAAATCCTCACCACTGGGCAAACTGGTAACATTATGATAGATGGAGAAAAGATTGAACTTGTAAAAGATTTCATCTTATTTGGCTCCACAATCAGTATCTTTGTTACCAGAAGTTGGGAGGTCATAAAACATATTTAATTGAGCAAATCTGCAGTCAAGGACCACTTCACAGTTCTAAGAAGCAAAGATATTAGTCTAAAGACTAAGGTATACCTTTTTCAAGCCACGGTCTTTTCATCTGCAAGTTGGATAATGAATACGAATGAGAAAAGAATCATCACTGCCTTTGAGTTTTGGTGTTGGAGAAAAACACTCAATATCCTATGGAGTGCCAAGAGAAAAAATAATGTATCTTGAAGAAGGTGTAACTGGGTGCTTCTTAGAGATCAGGATGGTAAAGCTTCATCTTATATGCTTTGGATCTGTTGTTAAGAGGGGCCAGGCCTTGGAAAATGACACCATGTTTGGGAAAGCAGAAGGTCAGCACAAGAAAGGAAGACTCTCAGGGAGGCGGAGTGACACAGTGACTGTAATAATGGGCTCAAGAATATCAGAGATGGTGAAGATGGCACAGAATGGGGCATAGTTCAGATCTGTTGTACACAGGGTTGCTATGAGTCATACTTGATTTAATGGTACCTAACAACAGTTCATAGAATTATGACTTCTAAATGAGTTGATATATGTGTAGTGTTCAGTGTAGTTCCTAGCACATGGTAAGTTCCAAGTAGGCCTTTATTTTAAAATGTCATTGGAATATGTGGATGTTTACTCTCTAGAGGTGCTAGTATGTGAAAGGTTGATCAGAGGCTCCAGTCCAGAGAAGGATAGCATCAGCTATCTTTATCTCATTGTTGCTGTTGCTGTTATTGTTATGAGCCCTTGAACTGCTTGCAATTCATAGTGACCCTATGTGCAACAGCTCTGACACCTGCTCTATCTTGTGCCAACTTTTTTGGAAGTAGATGGCCAATCCTTCTTCCTGGTCTGTAATAATATCTGACAAACAAGCATTTTACAGAAAGGAACAGATGAAAGACATTCTTTGTGTTTCCATATTTGAGATCTCAGCTTCAGTTGTCATGTCTGCTAGTCTAAGAGTGCTCTATTGTACAAAGGGTTTTAGAAGGCCTGTTATTTTATATCATTATAAATTGTATTATTACAATAGATGTTAGAAATGATTTTTCACTGCACAGGTGAAATGACAAGATGCTGGACTAGTTCCACATTATTCAAGTGCTATTTGTTGCTGTGTGTTACTGAGTTAATTCCAACTCACAGTGACTCTATGGGACAGAGTAGAAACTTCCCTTCAGGGTTTCTAACTCATGATATTTTTTAAGGGAAGGGCCTTGCTCCCAAAGAGTACCTAGTGGGTTCATCTACCTTCCTGGTAGAAGCCAAGTGTTTTAACCATTCTCTTCATAGGGAATAAACCTATAGAAATCCCAGGAGTCTCCTTTATAACTTTTTAGAATAGTTTAGGATTTGGAATAATCCTGTCTGTGTACACTGACTCACTCACTCAGTCACTGCAATGAGTGAGCAGACCAATTTGTCACTGGCTTTCCAGTGGGTTTTCAAAGGCTCTAAATCACAGTTTTCAAACCCTATGGAGAAGAGTGTGGCATCAAGATTGGAAGAAGAGTTATCAATAACAACCTGTGTTATGCAGATGATACAACCTTGCTTGCTGAAAATGATGAGGGCTTGAAGCACTTGTTGTAGGAGATTGAGGAATGAAGCCTTTGGTATGGACTGCATTTCAATTATCAAAGAAATAGAGATTCCTATCACTGGTCCAATAGGAAGTGTCATGATGGATGGAGAAGAGACTGAAACTGTCAACAGCTTCATCTTGCTTGAATACACAATTAACACCCTTGGTAATAGCAGTCAGAAAATAAGGAGACATATTATACTGGGAAAATCTGCAGTTAGGGACCTTTCCAAATTATTGAGGAGTAGTGAAGTCCGTTTAACGATTAAGGTGCATTTGATTTGTTGTTATGTGCCGTCGAGTCATTTGCAACTCATAGCGACCCTATGTACAACAGCCCTAAACCGTGCTCTATCCTGTGCCAATCTCATTGCCTCTGACACGCCCATCCCAAGCACTCCAGTCACTGAATCAATCCACCTCATAGAAGGTCTTCCCCTCCTGTGCTGTCGTATCTGAGACCTGGACAATGAATAAAGTTGACAGTAAAAGAATTGAAGCCTTTGAGCTGCGGTGTTGGAGAAGAGTACCGAATATCCCATGGATGGCCAAGAGAACAAATAGATAGATCTTGGAGAAGGTGAAGCTGGAATGCTCTTTGGAGACAAGAATGATGAGGCTTCGCTTCACATACTTTGAACATGTTATTAGGAGGTGCTCTTCCTTACAGAGGAACATGATGTATGGAAGGGCGGAGGGTCAGTGAAGGAGATTGAAGACCCTTAACCAGGTGAACTGACATGGGGACTGCTACAATGGGCTCTTGTGTGTCAGGAAGTGTGAGGATGGAGCTGAGTAGAACAGGGTGCAGATCTTTTGTTCATAGGGTCGTACTCAACTTGACACAGCACCTAACAACAATAACAATAATTACATGAGAGGACATTGTCCGCCTTTCTCCCATGGAGCAGCTGGTGGTTTTAAACTACTCGCCTTTGGGTCGGTAGCACAGTTCCTTATCCACTATGCCATCAAACAAGTACCAATTAAATGATTTGTTGCTTTATTATGACCAGAAAGGCCACTGTATCCTGCCATTGAATGATGTCTCATTCTTTATATCTACTTTTCCTAAAAGGTGCTGTACAGTTGTTAAAAAGGACAGATCCTTGAAACCTCACATCTCTATGTTTTTGTCTGCTTGTTAATTAATGTGTCTACTTGGAGACAGATTCAGATTCAGATTATCAATGTGAGATTTATTGTGACAGAGCACTTGCTAACATGGTCAAAATGGAAGCTATATCCTATATCCCCTTAAGGCCTTAAACTTTGGGAGTTTAATGACATTTTCCAAAAAGAATAAAATATGGTGAATAACCAAATTGGCTTAGGTCTCTGTTTTTAACAAGGCTCTATAAAAGTGCCAGTAGGAATGAAATCTTTTCAGCTCTTAAGAGGACGATGATATAAATGCAATGACAAGCCAAATACAATGTACAAAGCAAACACAATGACAAGCCAAAGTAAGACATAAAAAGATAATTTCTTTATGTTTCTATGTAATAATATATGCTGAGTATATTATCTGTACCAAGGACAGTGCCAGGGATCTGTCAGCTTTCCTACAGGAAAGGAACTTACTTTGACATTGTTTTAGAACAAGTGCAAAATAACTTAGTTGGAATTACTAATGGACTTACCAATGGCCAGCAGTAAGTCTTCAAAATTCCCAGATAATTCTCCTTTTATGCTGTCCTCAATGTCCTTCTGGCTGATATTTTTATATTCATCAAATGCTGCAAAGATACACCACAAAAACATTAAAGCCATCTAGTTGACCATCCTTGATTCTATGCCTGTCTTAGACTAGATAGGTTTTCGATGAGATACGCAGCAGGCCAAGTTGTTTAGCAGTAACTTCAGACACTCCTTACTTAAATCACCAACATGTTGAAGCTTTTTCTTTCTCCTTAAGAAAATCATCTGCAATAAAACTAGAATTTCACAGACCATGTTTGCTGATGAATTATTTCTGTTTCACTTAGGAGGTTGGTACTTAAAATAGCCTGAAAGGTTATAAAGCCAATGGTAAGTAATTTGTCTCATGATATGGACTATTTTCAAATTATAGTAGCACCTGGAAAACTGTAGTGTGGCCATTAGTCAAATGTATTTTATCTGCTAAAGAGAGCTCATTTGTTGTGGGGAGTAACTCATATTCTTAGGGAGCTCAGCCTACCTCTCACCACCAGTAGGCACCCTAGTTCTTGATCATATTTGCCCCTAGGCAAAACCTACATATACACTGATAAGTATACAGGCATATGTGGCAAGCCAGGTAAAATTTTTCCAAGTAAATTTCGAAAAGAGAAATTCTAGAGATAAAATTAGGGTGCCTTGTTTGGTTTTTCCAAATAAAGATATTAATAAGTGAGCAGTAAGGCTATGCCTCTCTGGAGATTCCAATCCATCAGTGGCACCAAGAGAGAAAGAACAACAATCTCCTCCTGATATGTTTTGTTTCCAACTTGATGGCAATGAGAGACAGAGAAAAAAAGGGGAGGGGAAGGAGAAAGCAATAAAGGCTATAAAAATTACAATCTCAGAATTAAAGTCACAGTAGTGTCCTCCTGTTTCCTCACATGTCCATGAACTTGGCAGACATTTAGCCATGCACTGGAGTTGGCCTCTAGACCGGAACCTGAAAATCAGTCAGAGTCTGTGAAAAGAAATGAAGTTCTGGGCCTCTGGGCATCAGTTCTGCCTAAAAGTTGGTCATTAGAGTTCTGTTGCATTTTTTTACCCACCACTGCTTTCTCTGCTAAAAAAAGCTAAATGTTGATCAGTATTAATACATTAAGTGGAACCCCCCCCCCAAACCAACCTTAACTGAAACTCAGCAGCAATGCTCAATTTTCCTGGAAAATGGCTAACTTTGGAAGAGATGGCGCAGAGACCAAGCAGCAGAGCCCTTCACCCCACAGGAACACACCCACTCTTCTTCTTCATCTTGTCACAACTCCTTCTTTGCCTCCAGTAACTCCCTGGCTCATCTACTTACTCCCAGGAGAAACCAAGGGAAATGTCAGTACTGTCTCAAGCTAGACTACCTCTTCCTCATTTCATTTCATGGAAAGTTTTTAAAAGAAAATTAAAACAATCTTTCCATTTTTAGCTTCCTTTTCTAGAACTTTGGATGGCAAAGTTCAAGGCAGTTTGCAAAATAAATTTTTTCCTTAAAATCCCGGAACCAAATAAAAACACTGCAGTGTGATTTAAAAATTAATGGTGTCCATACTTCGTTTCAGTTGAGGAAAGCTCCTTAAACAGAGGATTTCAGTGAATTTGTCTTCATCTGTACCCCATCTCTTTTCACCAGCATCATAGAGAATCTGAAAAGGAGAAGGGTATAGTAACACAAAATTGACAGAATCCCCTATCTCTGTGGATTTGTTTGGGTTTCTTTCCTGCTTTTCTCTTTTTTTTATTCACTGTTGCACATTTTCTACCCCACATTCCTCCCCGCCCAACCACCCCCACAATGCATTCCCTGTTCCAGATTGTTCTCATATATATAATGCATATAGCATCAGGATGGATGGTGAAGAGATTGAGATTGTTCACAGCTTCAGTTTGCTTGGCTCCACAGTCAACACTCTTGGCACCAGCAGCCAGGAAATCAAAAAGCGTATTGCGATGGGAAAGTCTGCTGTTAGGGACCTCTCTAAAGTACTCAAGAACAACAGTTTCTCTTTGGAGACGAAGGTGTGCCTGATACAGGCCGTGGTCTTTGCAATCACTTGTTATGCATCAGAGAGCTGGACAATGACTAGGGAGGACAGAAGGAGAATTGACGCCTTTGAGCTGTGGTGCTGGAGAAGAGTACTGAATGTACCATGGACTGCCAAGAAAACAAACAGATTCATCCTAGAGAGGGTTAAACCAGGCTACTCCTTGGAGGCAAAGATTCTGGGGCTTCATCTGACATACTTTGGACATGTTACAAGGAGAGACACGTCTTTGGAGAGGGACATCATGCTGGGTAGAGTAGAGGGACAGAGCAGGAGGGGAAGACCCTCTATGAGGTGGACTGATTCAGTGACTGGGGTAATCAGGACGGGTGTGTCAGAGGCAATGCGATTGGCATAGGATAGAGCAGGGTTTAGGGCTGTTGTACATAGGGTCGCTATGAGTCGCAAACGACTCGACAGCACATAACAACAACAACAACAATCATATATTCCTTTTGGACAGTTCTTCCCCTCATCTGTTCTAATGCAGTGTTCATTATGTATCCACTCTCTCCCCATTCACTTTCCAACCTCTCACCCCATGTCTGTCCTATTTTATGACAGCATGTTATGAAGTTGTTGTCTTTTTTTGTGACTGAGATATTTCATTCAGTATAATGTCATGCAGGGTTACCCATTTTGTATAATATTATATGAGTTCCTTGTTTTTCAGGGTTGCATAGTATTCCCTTGTGGGACTACACCACAGCTTCTCTATCCATTCATTCGTTGATAGACACTTAGGTTGCTTCCATCTCTTTCCTATTGTTAATAACGCAGCAATAAACACGAGTGTCATGTACCTGTTTGGGTGCCAGCTCTGTCTGATTTCTTTAGAGTATATTCGCAGTAGTGAAATTGATGTGTCAAATGATATTTCTATTTCCAACTTTGTGAGAAAGTGCCAGACCGTCTTCCATAATGGTTGCACCATTTTACACTCCCACCAAAAGTGAATAAGGTTTCCAATCTCTCCAGAACCTCATCAGTATTTGCTGTTTGCTGCTCTGTTGAACTTTGCTATTGTTGCTGGAGTGAGAGAATATCTCATAGTTGTTTTTATTTGCATCTCTCTGGTAGCTAGGGATTTTGAAAATTTCTCCATGTGTTTGTTTGCCATCTCAATGTTTTCTTTGGTGAAATTTCTGTTCATATCCTGTGCCCATTTTGTGACTGGTTACCTTTTTCTTGTTAAAATGCTGGAGTATATAAATGTTAGAAATATGTCCCTTATCAGATATGTCATTGCCAAATATTTTTCCCAGTCTGTGGGTTTCCTTCTTATCTTGTTGAAGAAGTTTTTTGATGTGCAAAGGGATTTGATTCTTTTTTTTTTTTTTGGGATTTGATTCTTAGAAGGTCCCTTTCATCTATTTTATTTTCTCCTAGTTGTAGGTTTTTCAGGATGCTTGGAAGACTGTTCATGTTGTGGACTAGATATTGTAGAGTTCTTTCTAGCTTTTCTCTGATGAATTTTATAGTCTTTGGTTTTACTTCTAGGTCCCTGATCCACCTTCAGTTTTAGAAGGTGTGAGGTGTGAGTCTTGCTTAACTTTTCTGTAGATGGTTTTCCAATTTTGCCAACACCATTTGTTAAAGAGACTATCCTTTCCCCACTTAACTGATTCCATCTCCTTGTCAAAGACAGGTGAACACAGGTAGATGAACTGATTTCTGGGTTTTCAATTCTATTCCATTGATCTATGTGTCTGTCACTGTACCAGTACTTGACTGACCACTGTGCTGTCCTGACCACCCCAGTTGTTCAGTAGGGTTTGAGATCATGGATTGTTATGCCACCTATCTTGTTTCTCTTTTTCAGGAGTGTTTTTCTTATGCAGGGTCTCTTTCCATTCCAGATAAAATTGGAAATTGCCTTTTTCAGGTTGTTGAAGAATAGAATTGGTAATGGGATTGCACTGAACTTGTAGATTGCCTTTGGTGAAATTGTCATTTTCACAATATTGAGTCTTCCTATCCATGAGCATGGTCTATTTTTCCATTTCTCCAGATCTCTCTTTGTTTCTTATAGCAATGTTTTGTAATTTTCTGTGTATAGGTCTTCTGTATCTCTAGTTAGATTTATTCCCAATTATTTCATCTTGTGGTTAGCTAGTATAATTTTACTTGTTTTTCTAGTTCCATTTCTGTATTCTCTTTGTCACTGTAGAGAAATTCAACTAATTTTTATATATTTATCTTGTACCTGGCTACTTTGTTGAATTGGTCAACTATGTTCAATAGTTTTCCTGCTGAATCTTTAGGGTTTTCTAAGCATACTATCGTAACATCTGCATATATAGTGTTATCTCCTCCGCCAATTTGTATACCTCTTATTTCCTTGTCTTGTCTTATTGCTGTCGCTAATACTTCCAATACTATATTGAAGAGAAGAGGTGACAGTGGGGATCCTTGTTTAGTTACTGTTCTCAAGCAGAATGCCTTTAATTTCTTTCCATTGTTAACAATGTTGACTCTTGGTTTTGTACATATACTTTTCACTTTGTTGAGCAAATTCCCCTTTATTCCTATTTTGTTTAGTGTTTTAATCAGGAAGGGCTGCTGTGTTTTGTCAAAAGCCTTTCTGTATCAATTGACAGGATCATGTGGTTCTTGTTCTTTGCTTTGTTAATGTAATGAATTACATTAATTGTTTTTCTTATGTTGAACCATCCTTGTATATTTATCATGAATCCCACTTGATCATGATGATTTTTTTTTTTTATGTACTGTTGGATTCTACTGGCCAGGATTTTATTGAGGATTTTTGCATCTATGTTCATGAGAGATACTGGACTATCGTTTTCTATTTTGTTGGTATCTTTACCTGACTTTGGTATCAGAGATATATTTGTTTCATAGAATGAGTCTGGGAGTAGTTCATCCTTTTCTATTTTCTTAAATACTTTATGTAGAATTAGTGACAGCTCTTCTCTGAATGCTTGATAGAATTCACTAGTAAAACCCATCTGGTCCGAGGCTTGCTCTTTTTTTTTTTTTGTTGGAAGATGTTTTAAAACCTATTAAATTAGCAAGCTCTGATGGCCTAGTGGCAAGAAGCTGCACTGTAATCTGAGAGGTGAGCGGTTCAAATCCACCAGATGCTTTGCTGGAGAAGGAGGAACAATCTCCTCCTATACCAGTCAAATCTGATTTGACGGTACGCGAGCACGCGCGCGCACACACGCACCCACACACACTAAAAAGAAAATTTAAAAAACCCCTATTCAATTTCTTCTTTTGTAATGGATCTGTTCAAGGGTTATACTTTTGTCTGTGTCAGTTCAGTATGTTGTGAGTTTCTAAGTATTTGTCCATTTCTTCAAGGTTTTCATATTTGTTTGAGTACAGATTTTAATAATATTGTATCTTTACTTTTTATCTCAGTTCTATTGTGACGAAGTTTGTTTTTGTTTTTAACGAGTCAATTAAGAAGAATGAGCACTTTATTTGAGAGGTTAGTAAGCTAATATATTACCTATGTTTTTCACTTTAAGTAAAATATAAATTTGAGAAGTGGAGTGGTAGGCAACAAGAAACAATGATCACTAATAAAGAAAGAAGAAACCTGGGACTAGGCCCCTTCTGCCCCAGGTAATGCTATAGATTGGATTTTGTCCCTCCAAAATATGTGCTGGAATACTGGCCACCTATATTATGCAGTGGTTGAAGCATTTGGTTGCTAACCAAAAAGTGTTTGAACCCAACAGGTGTTCTATGGGAAGAAGATGAAGTAGGCTGCTCTGTAAAGACTGATAGCCTTGGAAACCTTAGGCACATTCTACTCTATCCCTACAGGGCTGCTAAGAGTCAGAAACAACTTGACAGCAGCAAGTTTAGAACAATAGATGGAAAACAAGAAGAGGTGATAAAGGAGACATTGTCTTGCTCTGTTACTGACCTGAGCATCCTTTATAGCCAGATGTTCATCCACTTTCAGACTCTCATCTCTTCTGCCCTAAACAGGAAGGAAGAAAAATGGGTGATTCTTTTAAAGATAGAAGATTCTAACACTCACTCACCAATCCTCACCGAGGAAATAGGTATAACCAACATCTGGCTTACTTTTTTAAAATACTTCAACCAGCAGGACACTTCAGAGATTTTTCTCCATATTAAGGCCATGTAGCCAAAAGAAAAGATTACTGATGGAGGAATCTGGCACTCTACATTCTAGATCTGGCTCTGCCATAACATTTATTTGAAACTGTACAATTTTCTCTCAGTTCCCGCCTCTGTAAACTCTAGAGTCCACACCAACTCTGCCGTTGAAAGTTCTAGTTATATGTGTATGTATGTTCACGTAGAATATACAATGTAGAAAGACAGATGATGGGAAAGGGGAGAAGTATGACGGCCAGAATGATTTTGAGAATTACAGGTAAAAGAAGAACTTGGATAAACTCCCTTTAAAATATATTTTTGAAATAGAAAAATCTAATTCCAAACTAATAGCTCCTGTATTCATGTCTGATTTTTGTCATTTAAAAAAAATACTTATGACTTCAAATTGTGGTGCTGGAGAAATCTTGAACATACCATGGGCCACTAAGAAAACAAATATGTCTATCTTGGAATGGGTCAAACCAAGTTTCTCCTTGAAGGCTAGGATTTTGAAGCTTCTCACATATTTTGGGCATGTGGCTAGGAGGGACCAGTCCTTGGAGGACATCATGCTTGAATGGGTGGAGGGACAACACAGGAGAGGAAGATCCAGGAATGGATGGATTGATACAGTAACTGGGGCAATGGGGTTGGTGTGTCAGAATAAGTGAAACTGGATCAGGGCAGGCCAGGCTTCAGGTCTGCCATATATAGGGTTACTAGGGGTCACAGGCAACTCGATGGCACATAACAATAAAAAACAAAACAACTGTGTGACTGCTGCTCAGGTGCTACTAATTTCCCTTATTTTCTCTTTAATTTTGCACTCTGCTTTTGTAATAAAAATGCTAATATTAATTTATAATTATAATAATTACCACTACAATGAAGGAATTTGGAAGCAGGAGTGGCATCCACTTCCTAAACAACATGCCTACGAAAACTCTATGAACTTTGAGAAATGATGACAGTTACAGAAAGGCTTTAGGTCTTTTGTTCATAGGGTCACTTTGCTGTGGCAATCAACCACAACAGCCACCACCAAGAAGGAAACGGATTGACCCAGTGACTGCAACAGTAAGCTTGAGCATGGCAGAGGACATGAAAACGGTGCAGGAAAAGGCAAGGTTTCAATCTGTTGTTCATAGTATCGCTATGTGTAGTCAACTGGATGGCACCTAACAACAACTTCCACCAGTAACTGATAACCTTTCTTGGACTAAGTATTTCTTATGGACCTCTACAAATTATTGAGGAGCAATGATGTCAGTTTGAAGATCAAGGTGTGCCTAAGTCAGGCCATAATCTTGCCAATCACTTGCTATGCATTTGAAATCTACATAATAAGTAAAAATGACAGAAGAAAAATTAATGCCTTCGAACTGTGATGTTGGAGAACAGTACTGAATATCCCATGAACTGGCAGAAGGAAAATCAAGTATGTCCTGGAGAAGGTGCAGCCAACCTGTTCCTTGGGGGCAAAAATGTTAAAGCTTTGTCTCACATACGTTGGATATGTTTTTGGGAGAGGTCATTCCAATATGCTTGGACAACAAAGGAGAGGGAGACCCTCAATCAGGTGGATTGACATAGTGGCTGCTTCAGTGGACTTGTATGTGTCACAGACTGAGAGGCTGGCACACCTTAGGATAAGTTTCAGACCTGTTGTTCACAGGGTCACTATGCATTGTACTTGACTCAATGCCACCTCACAACAACACAATCTTTACAATACCCTCAGAATTAGTACTATTATAATTTTAATTTTACACATTTAAAAACTGAGGGTTTAATGCTTAAAGGAACATATCCAAAGAAATAAAACCAGTATTATAAAATTCTAGCTCTGTTTGACTTTAAGAGTAGGCTATAGCCTTATGCTATGCTGCCTCTGTGGATGGGTAAGTATGTTTGTGACTAGATAAGTGGATCTACACCTATGAATGTATCTCTAGGAGTGTATGTTTGCAGACACATTGCATAATTTAGTGGTGTGGGTTCTGAAAACAATTGACATCATAATTAGGATAAATTATTCCCTTCTGTCATCAAACTGGAGTACAGAGCAGAATATTCCAAGGATTGCCAAAAGAAACAAATATATCTTGGAGGAAGTGCAATTGGTTGCTTGTTAGAGCAAAGGCAGTGAACCTTTGGCATGTAATAATTAGAAGGGGCCAATCCTTGGAAAAAGATATTTTTCTGGGAAAGGTGGAGGCACAGAGAAAAGAGAAGATCCCCAACAAAAGAGACTGACACAGTGACTGTAACAGGCTTGCACACATCAGAGGTGGTGCAGATAGCACAAGATAGAGCAATGCTCAGAGGTATTGTTCACAGAATAGCTGTGAGTTGTAGTTGAATTGATGGCACATAACAACAACCACAATTATGCTTAAGTCTTAAAAGCATTTAACAGGCTGAGTCCATCACTAATATTGTAAAAGTTGTATACATCAGCTAAAAAAAGCTGGTGAGCTTAGATTCCTTCCTCTCATACACACATTTGTGAGCTCATCTCATCTTTGACTTGCCTTCATACCAAGGTTCTGAGTATTCTAAATGTGAGACAGTAAGGTGTGGCCTCCTTTGCTCACATGCTGAGTCATGGTTTATCAACTCTCCCAAGGTGGCAATTATGAAGTCAGCCTTTTATTTCTTAATTGTAAGACTGGACAACCACTTCTGAACATCACTCTTCTGTATCCTACTCCTCAAACAGCTTAAATATTATTCAAAGATTATATATATATTCATTCATTGGACTTGAGTAGAAAATAAATATATCCTTAAAAGATACACATAACAAAAAGGAATAAACATTTGATATCAGATGATTTATGAAAATATATCCTAATGCATTATATACTATGACCAACATACTTCTTATCTTTATATTTTTTTGTTATACACACACACACACACATATTTTTTACATAATACACATATGTATGTATATATATTAGGGATCTCTGGTGGTCTAGTGGATAAAAATCTGTACCGTCAGACTAAAGATACATCTCCTCCTGTGCAATATACTGTCTTTGAAGACTTGCTGGAAGGTCAGCTACAGGTTAGCTCTGACTCCATAGGACACAATAAAACAGCAAAAATATGTTAAGGAGTTTTGTTGGCATAGTCTATAAGGGGCTGCACTATGAACCCAAAGATAGTACTTCTCTGATGGTTTGAATCCACCAGTGGCAACTTGACGGAAAGATGAACAATCTCCTATTGTGTGATTTATAGTCTCCAAAAACTCACTGGTGAGTCAGTTCCAACTCAATAATAATGAATGAGTGATTGATTATATAGATAGATAGACTTGGTTGAACATTACATTGGTTAGTAGAAATGTAAATGTAGAATGAATGAATAAACAATTTTATAAAGAAAATTATAATCTTGTTTTTGCTGTTTGGCTATTTTTTTGTTGTTTTTAATTATTTTACATAAAATAATTCATTTACATTGTGGTTCATTCCTATATATTATATTCCATACAATCCCTCATTTACATTATGTTTCGTACAATCTTTTGGTTCTTTTTAAAAACCTTAAAAATTAGTTCTGAGCATGTGACTTATTGAGGAATTAAAAAAAATAAAATAACACCTACATCGGCTAAAGTCAACAAAGCTTTCCTGAAGTCACCAGATGTTTCAGAACTAATGTCGTCTCCGAGGCTCTTCTTATACACTGAAACCAAATAAGAAGGGAATTAAACACTGGCAAATGGAAAAAAAAAATCTTATTATAAAACAGAGAAAAGCTTAAACGTCAACAATGGCAATGAATAAGTTCCTGGTAAGGGAAATCCTGCTCTGATTAAACTTCCTGGTGGTTCTTCATTGCAAAATTATGCCTTTATAATTAATGCTGTGGTGATAATAGTAAAGCATGATGCAACACATTTTAAAGACTGCATTTTCAGTTTCCTTTTTAGTTAGGTACCACGAGTAAGTTCTTCACAAAAAATGTAGATATAGGTGGCAGTGATGCCTAATTTGTGAGTTAGTACTTGGAACGTGGGCAGACAGTACGTAATGTGAAGATGAAGGAGTAAGCAAGGAGGAGCCTGGTTCCTGAAGGATTTGAGGACTCAATGTTCCAGTCTTGGCAATGCTTATCTCCTTTTTTTTTTCCTCACATGTGCAAGAAATAAATTTTATCTTATAAGCCACTATTATATTTATGTTTTATGAGCCTAACGAGATATAGAAAGAGTGAGAGAGTAAGAGAGAAAGAATGAGAGTGAGTGAGAGAGAGTAAGAGTGAGAATGAGAGAGAGAGAAACACATTAAAAAAACCCCAACTCCAAGTATTTTATTATGCTTAGCTAGCCACATGGTCATGGACTTCAGCATTGTTTAATTCTAGTCCGGACTGCCCAGGTGGAAAAAATGGTTAAAGATTTGGCTACTAACTTAAAAGTTGGCAATTTGAACCCTTTTAGAAATGCTACAGAAGGAAGGTCTGGTAATTTGCTTCTGAAAGGTCATAGGCATTAAAACCTCTATGGAACATAGCTCTACTCGGAAACAGGAATCAAAAATCAATTCAGTGGCAACTATTGGGGTTTTTTCTTACTGGTTAAGTGTGGTCTCTTTTATGCAGTCTGTGCTATGCAGACCCTATTCATTTTAAGTCTCTATTCTGCTTCATCCCTGAAAAAGTAATTCTATTGTGTCACAATATAAGTGAATTAGAACCTAACACCAGGTGGCTATTTGAGCCATAAGTTTATTATTCTCAGGAATAAGTTAATCATATGAATACACATCCTTTTAATGCAATGAAAGACAATTGTTGAAAGTGATGTCAGTTTATGTAATAGCCACAATTGTATTGTAGCAACTCCCCAAGCATGACTTAATATGGTACCTTGTAAGAAATCTGTAATTTTCTAAAGGAATTAAAGTAAAATCCAATATAAATATAAATATAAATGATCTATCTACATAATAACTTTTTGCAGGCATCATTACACCTAATAGTCTTGATATTGTTATATTATCTTTTACATGAGTTAGAATTTTCATAAATTTAAAAACATTGAGTCAAATAATGAAATTCCCACATTAGAATTTGAAGTACTTTATAATCTGCAAGTTAGGTAGATGAGATTTTATAGATAGCTCATGTAGCGTCCCCATTCCAACCCTTAGTCTACATGCTTTTTTAGGAAATTAAACTTTTTAAAATTGCAATTACTTTCACTGAAATTGACAAGTGCTTTGTGGATTTTGAGGCATGATAAAGTCTAATTAAGAAAAACAATATTATAATATTACCATATTACCATAGAGCCTGCGTTCTCTAAGAATTCTTGATCCCTGAGTCAGTGTTCTTTTACACACCATTAACTTAAAATATTGAGAGAACTTCAGAGTTTAGCTATTTATTTATTTAGACGCCCCTGTGTCATTATACTGAACAACTCATGCAAGGATATCAAGCCCCTTTATAAGGGCCAAGTTAATAGTATTCTCTTCTTATATGTGATTCACATTTTATATTCTATGATACCCGCCATCTTGAACGTATCAGACACACTCTATTAAGATTATAATCTGTATAGAAAAGAAAACAAAAACAACAAAGTAGAAACAAGGCAGAAAACAAAATCTGAGAACAAGAAACCATAAGCAATTATAAGTCTTGAGTAGACACTACTAGAGAAGTCACTAGGCGGTGTCAAGTTCAACAGCAGTAGCTCTTTCCTCCATCCTGGCAACTGGGAGGGCCTGCTGGGAGCAGCACTTCTAAAGTTGCAAATATATCTGGAAGGATATTTTTGCTGACTACGAAGGAAATCTTTGGGACCAGATGTAGCAACATTTCTTCTTAAATTTGAAAGTATTTATGCCTGAGATGAGAAAGAATTCTACTCATGCAAAATTCAAACTCCAAACCAGTAATTGTCTAACTGATTCTGACTCATAGTGACTCTAGGCATTCGCCAAGAATTTCAGGGTCTGATTATTCAGAAGTAGATCACCAGGCATTTTTTTTCCTAAGGTGCCTCTGGATAGATTCAAACTGCCAACTCTATGGTTAGTAGCCAAATGTAGTGTTAAAGAATTATTGTTCAAAATGGCTTCTTTAGCCATAGACTGACTTTGCCCGTTGGATGGGTGGGAAAATGTAAATACGGCACGTTAGCCTATATCCATGGGGGGAATGGCTCATCTTGCCATTAAATTGAGGGGATCTAGCAATAGAATTTGAGAAATTTCACCGCCAGCTAAGAAGAATGCAGAGAATTCAGAGAATGCAGCATGCCCTTTGTGAGCAGAGATTCTTGAGACCAAGATTTACAGGAGCAGCAGTCATAGAAGCTGGAGCAGAGAACCAGAGACCCGATGTGAGACAAGAGTGGACCCTGGGACTGCTATCCTATGAAACCAGAACTAGGAGCTTCTGCCCAAGTCTGCTGGACTACTGGGAAGTTGTGGGGAAGAGTTGTAAGCCACAACAAGACTGAAGGCTGAGGTGTCAGTAAGCATGTGTTAGCAGTTGTTCTGATTCTGCTACTAACCTAAATTAGAGCCTTTGACATCCCTAATATGGTTCTGTGTCATCTGTAAGGTATCACAATGGACTTTGGATGTAATACAGCAATAAAACGTTGTTGGCACGAATAGGATGAGACATGAGAGCATGGGTGACATGTATGACCTCATGGGAACTGGTTTTGTGTTGTTGATGTTAATGGGGACAGTTCTCCTTTGTGAAGTTGGTAAAGGTCAGATGCGGCTATCTCTATGTAGCATTTGCTCTTTTTATACCAAGCATACTAACTATTTTCAAGATCCAGAGAATCATCTATTTTGGCAAGAAGAAATGTGTTTATGTATTCAAAACAAAGAATAGAGTGACTTCTGGTGGCAAACCTGAAAAAACTAATCTGGGAAAAGGTAAGTTGCACTCATAGGAACAGTGGCATCATCTATATCAAATTCTGAAGCACTCTTCCTTTTAAGCCTACTGGACATAAAATTTGTATGTTAGTTCTTTCAACAATATAAAGTTAATGAATAGTAAATACATATTGTGTTGGTGAAGGGTATTGACTATCATGAACTGCCAAAATGGCAAACAAATCTTTCTTGGATGAAGTGCAAACTAGGGTGCTTCTTAGAAGTAAGGTTGGTGAAACTTTGTCTACATATTTTGGGCATGTTGTCAGAAGTGGTCTCTCCTTTGAAAAAGATATCACGCTGGGAAAGATGGAAGGTCAGTAAAAGAGACAAAGAATCTCAACAAGATGGACTGTCACTGTGATTCTACCAAAGCACTTGAGCATCATAGAAATTGTGAGATGGTACAAAGTTCAGACAGGTGGTTTGTAGGGTCACTATGAGTCATAGTCAAGGATGATACATAACAACTACCACCACAACAAATAAACACAACTGTGGATTTAAGAGGGAAAAAATAGTCAAAGCAGAAAGTCTGAAATTAGTCAAATCTGCAATCAAGATACTTTTATGATTACTGATCATTGGAATGTGAAAGTTGCAAACAAACAGAAGTAAATAACTGGAAAACAAGGCATTGGTGATATAAACAGAAATAGAAAAAATAGAAATAACACTGGAGATCATATAACTGAATTTTGCAAGAACACCAACTTATTAATTGGATATACCTTTTATTCAAGAATAAAATTATGATTATACACATGAATCTCTACAGTTGGAATACAAAGGAGTCAAACTGACTACAACTGTGGAAAAATACAATGAAAAAAAATCCCATAACATCAGTTAGAACAAGGGATCAACTGGAACTACTCATACACAAGTTCAAGTTAAAGCTGAAAGAAATGAGAGCCAGTCCATAAGAGTCAAAGTACAGCTTGATTATCTCTAACTTCAATTTAAGGACCACATCAAGAATAGATCTGATGCTTTGAACACTACTGAATGAAGGCCAGACAAGTTGTGGATAACATCAAGGACATTACACATGAAAGAAGTAAAACACCATTAAAAAGATGGAAAAGATCAGAATAGAATTTGACCACATATTAGGAAACAAAGTAAATCTCAACAAGTTGATAAAAACACTGAAATAATACAAAGTATCTCCTGAGACCACAATGCATAAAAAGAAGATAAAATGGGAAATACTCCTACCCACGTGGAAGCTAAATAACACCCTGCTTGAGCACTACTGTGTTATAGAAGACATAAACAATGAAAGATAAAAGTCTCTCCAAATGAATGAAAAATACAACATCTCCAAATCTCTAGAACTTAGCTAAGGCAGTCCTCAGGGATCAGTCCACATCAATAAGCAAATCCATAAAAAATAACAAAGGAGACAAATAAATGACTCAACACAACACCTACAGCAAACAGAAAATGAACAACATGCTAATCACATAGTCTCTGGGAGAAAGGAAATTATAAGAACAAGGACTGAAATCAATGGGATAGAAAACAGAAAAACAGTTGAACCCATAAAAAAGACTAGAAGTTAGTTCTTCTAAGAGACAATAAAAAAGACAAACCATTGGCAAACTAATAAAAGACACAAATAACTCGAATAAGACATAAAAGAGGTGACATCACAACAGAATCAGCTGAAATCAAATTATTATAATAATAGAATATTAGTAAAAGATGACAGATGAAAAACTGACGCATTTGGGTTGTGGGGCTGGAGGAGAGCACTGGACATACCATGGA